AGGCAGATTCTTACTCAGGCCAAAGGATAAAATAAAGCTAAATACAAAAATCTGGTTCCTGATTGAGACAATCTATTCTGAGGAGAAAGAACACTTAAACCAGTTCAGCTGCCTTTGGCAGAGTCCTCAAGTCAAAATCAGGCACTGTTTAATGTAAGGAATCCCAGGAGACACTTCCCCTAGTCTTAAAACTGAATGTCCCAGGCAAACCCAGACAGTTGGTCACTCCATCTAGAGAAGCGGTACTGGGAAAGCAATTCAAACATTTATGAAGCACTATGAACTAATCTATATGCAATAAAGCGAGCTGACTGGATTCTAGAATCTCTAATCCCTGCCAATTTAAAATGTCTAAGTCTCACTAAACTGATCAGTGCATTGATCCATTCTCTTCTGTCTCATTGTAAGTGGCCTCTTGGAAGCATGAGACTTTGGTGATCATGCCTTCCTTCCTTCAGTCTCCTCTCTTCTGAAACACCACACTCCCGTAGTTTGGCTACTATTTTACTGGCTGCTCCTTCTCCATCTCTTTGGACAACTCCTCTCTTCCTATAACCCGACCAGAAAACATTCAATGTCCCCAAGTTTGATCTTCTGTTTCTTCTATAGTCTCTACTGTCTACTCCATACTTTGTCCATGTGATCACCTTTAAGCACCACTTAAATACAGGTAACTCTCCAAATCCCACCTCCACCTCCCCCATCTCCCCAACTGAGCTCCAGACTTGCATACCCAACTTCCTACTGAACATCTCACCCGAACCTCTAAGAAGCATCTCAAACCTCACATAGCCAAAATAGAACTCTTCATTGCACTTACCTCCCTCACACTCTTTCCCAGCTTAGGAAATGGCACCACCACATTATAATTACTGAAGCCAAAACTAAGAATCATCTTAAGTTTCCCTTTCCCTCATTTGCCACCTCCAAACCATGACTCAATCCTGCCAGCTTTATTCATCAAGCATATTCCAAAGCCATTCTCTTCTCTCCAAATTCAGTCTCACCATTCTAATCCAAGCCATCATCTCTCACCTAATTACCCCAAAGACCAAGTAACCAGCTTCCCTACTGCTATTCTTTCCTTCATCTCCCCACAATTTCTTCCCCTACAAAACAGCGAGGAGTGTTATATGTAAACATCAAGGATAGAGAACGTCTACTTTGTTTCCCCAGTACTTAGAACAATGTCTGCCTCATAACTAGGCACTCAAAGACAAAAGAATGAATAGTCAATTCTCCCCTACCCTTTCATAACTAACTTCCCCTCACACAGAATAAACTCTGAACTTCTTAACAATGTCTTCCATTACCAGGCCTCCCTCACTTCACATCCTTGCTCATATGCTCCAGACTCACTGACTTTTGATATTCCTCCAACTCCCCAAACTCATTTCTACCTTGGGGCTGTTTCTATACCCACCACCTGATGACTTCTCCCCTCATGTCTGACTCCTCCTCATCATTCAGGTCTCCAGAGCAATGTTACATGCCCAGAGGCCTTTCATGACCAGCCAATCCAAAGTAGCTCTACCCATCCTCTGCCCTCTCACCCAGTTTCCTTTTCTTCATAGTACTACTTAACACTAGCTGAATTATCTTGTTGTTGGTTTACCTACAGACTGTTTCCTCCCCACTAGAATGTAAACTCTCTTAGAGTTGGGATCTTATCTTCTTCAATGATGTATCTCTAGAGCTAGTACAATGCCTGTCACACAGTAGTTATTGAAAGAATGACTCACATTTACCAACTTCTTATAAGCACCAAGCACTATGCTTCGATAACAATGGATCTTTGTAATTAAAAAATTAGAAAGTAGAAATAAAATAATAATTGAGTAATTTGATGTTCTTTTTATGTTGATGATTCCATTCCTAAAATGAATGACCTTATATAATTCCACTTTTTAAAATATTATTTTGCCAGTATAAAGTAAGACTAGCCTTAAAGTATATTAATTAGCATCACACTGTAGCTTTAAAAGTTATTTAAATGATCACATTCTTCATTTCTTAATGCATTGTTTGAGGGAATTAAGCTATCACTTAGTAAAATAACTATCTAGGAGTGTTCATGTCTTCATCATTTTCTCAGAGTACACATACAGACACTTCATCCAGTCAGAAAAATCATGATTCTGTAACACCTTTCTGTTTTAAACATAAATAGTCACAACATGACAATAGAAGTCGTAAACTCACCATTTATTTCCTGGCCTTGGATTAATTTACCAGCTTCATTCAAGCCAACAAGTGATAAAATTCCAAGTACTAATGAAGTTCACTTCACAAAATTCATCACTAAGCTAAGATTCACCCCTAACCCCCCAATGCCTATTATAAAAGAACATGACCAATTGAGTTTAAGCAATAGAGTTACATTTCATTGTTACCATAGTACTTCCAGGTCTATCTAATTAAGAAACACAACAAAAAACCTTAGTATCTAATGCAATCACACCAGTTACTACCACTACCATTATGACATCACTAAACACCTCATGGAACTGCATCAACTAGGAAGAGACAGATTTAAAGCTCAAAGCACTAAACAAGTGACATTTCTTCAGATCACATTAGTGTTTTCTACAACATTTTATTTTCAGCACACTTGAAAACTGTCATATCCTACCTCCAAATACTTTAAGGGTTGACTATGTTAATATTTTTAAGGTATGATTTATAAAAACAAATTCAGAATACATACAAGTATTCAAAATATCACTCTATGCTAAATTTTTTGAAATCTAAGGGAAATATTTCCATCCTTATCCAACTTTGAAACTATTATACCTTTTGAATAATACACTCAGCCAAACGCACAAAAGATGTACAACTTCTATCTACCCAAAATAGCCAATAGAAGGGGGAGGGGGAAGGGGAACGACACTTTTGTTTCATCTGTTGTAAATGTAAAAATATTCATCTTATTTTCTTTATAACACAGTCTCTAAAGCCAAAAACCTGTGGGTAAAGCCAAAATAAAATTAAATTCTAAAGCAAACCTTAAAAGTTCAGTATTTTCCAAACCATCCTTGTTATTCCTATTTATGTTTTTACTGCCATTAGCTTAAAAAGGAAGTTTCCTCAAATTTTTTAGAACACTGGTTCTACATTAACTTTGGTTTTCCTTTATGTCTACTTACGTATTTGTACAAACAACCCCGTTTTAGGACACCTAACATTAACCCTCATATTGAGATAAACTCATTTAAATACAAGAAATTACTTATCCCTGTCTTTACACTGGTCCTCAGAACCAAAATGATTGCTGATAAATTCAGTCAGGAGACTGGTTCCCTTTATTTTTGGAGCTCCAAATCATTCAAGTTAGTCAAAAGACTTACTGGACAGTACTTCAAAAATACAAATTTTCTTTGAATTCTCAGAAAGGAAAAAAAATCTCTACATGAATCAACTCAGAGGTCATTATCTTCACCCTCACCATCTGTTCATTTGCTAAAGAAAGCACACTTAAGTTTTTCATTTAAGGTGTAATTTTTTTAAACTAAAAAATAATTTTAAATATTTGATCAAGAAGAGAATAAAGAAACAAATAATTACATGACTATTACTGTAAAAATAATCCATTCTCAGCATATAGTTGAAAAAATTTTTATTGGAAAGGCATGTCCTGACTTACCAATGGCTTACCATTAACAAAGCTAGATAAAATATATGCTTTGTAAAGATATACTGTCCAAATTCCTTAAACTTGGTTAGTATTTATGAAGTATTTTCTCCGTCTACATTCTTTGCTGAAGAAAAGGTCTTGAGGCTGCAATATAACCTAAGTCCTCCCTCAGTTACTTAACTTCTAAGTGCTATAATGTTTTCTACCTTACAGAAAATAGTGGAAAAATGGATGCAATGCTTGTGTGGTACAATACCTCCAAACACATTATTATTACAAATAAATTTTAAGAGGTTAGGTTACAAAGACATTACAGATGGCATTTGACATGTACAGATAAATTGAAACCACTCCTTCCAGCCTCTAGGGATTATCAAGTATCTTCTCATTCACTGACATTTCTTTGATTTCAGGATTTATAAATACTCAGTAAGCATCAAAAACCTCTCAACTGCTGTCTCCTCTTAACATAAATAGCACACATTTTTCAGCCTTTCAAAGGGGTTCAACAATAAAGATTAAAGTGCCTGGAGGAATCGTTAACGTCAGATAACTTGTCACAGGCAACCGAAGACTTAACTCTTTATCCCAAATTGGTGGAGGATTTATCCTAATTTAGTGGCTCCTATACAACTTTTGAGCGATGCAGGCATGAAATGGCTGTCTGACACAAACGGCTCCTTTCACACACTGAACGCTGCAAACTCCAAATTTTCCTTTAAGGGGCCAGGGAGAGATAGACGTTATTAACACTCCCATTGCTTGAAGACAGATGGGTTCCTACAGGACGTGTCCTCGCCTTACCCCGGAGAGGGCTGAGGGGCGACGACCAGGCTCAGTGAAGCGCCGAGTCCCCTCAGGGGTCGCTTGCAGCGACGGCCTCCCCAGTAGCCTCCTCCCGTCCCCAAACGCGCCCCTGGAGTAGCGGCCGCGGGCGTGGGCGCCCCAAGTCGCCGCCGCAGCATTGTGGCGGCGACCTTCTAGCCCGGGTCCCCCGGAGCCCCGTTATCCACGTCGGCCACACACCCCACGAGGGAAAGGAAGGAGGACGGACAACAAAGCCCAGCCGGAGGAAGCCCAGGCGAGCTTTAAGTTGGGGCGCGGGGGCTGCGGCCGACGAGCGACGGCCGGGACGCCAGCCGCTCGGGTTCTGTGCGATGCGGTGAGGGGCGGAAAGAGCCAGGGACGCCGCCCGCTAGATGTCAGCCCGCTGGGCCCACGGGGCGGCCGGGAGGACACCGGGCGGGCGGGGGCGCGGCGGCGGCCGGGGCAGGCAGGCCCGAGGGGGAGGCGGCGGCGGCAGGGTTCCACGACGCGCGGTCGGCCGCCACCCCCACGCCGGCTGGAGGACGGTCCCGTTACTTACCCGCTGGGACGCTGCGGGCTCCGCCGGGGCTGTCCCGGCTACTGGCCTCCGGGGCTAGGAGGCGGCCCCACATCGCGAGCGGGAGAGCCGGGGGGCTGGGGGCGCCCGACTCCCCACGTCAGTCCTTCCCCGCCTTTGCCTCCTGCTTCTTCGGCGCCGGAAACTTGTGCGGAGCCCGGGCCGCGGCGACCCCGCGGGAGGGCGGACCGGTTAACGGCTCTTCAACGACAGTAAGGAACCGCAGGGGCCAGATTCTCCGCAGCGGCAGCTGCCATGGCCGAGCCGGCTGGGCCGAGGCGCGGGCCGGGGGAGCGGCGGCTCCGCGGTGACGGCGGCTCGGTCCCCGGCTGAGCCCGGCTGAGCCCCAGCTCACAGGTTCCAGGCGAAGTTGCAGCTGCGGCTTCTCTCCGCCCCCTCCGCCCGCGGAGCCGGAGCCGGAGCCGGAGCCAGAGCCGGAGCCGGGGCGGGGCCTTCCGGGGGCGGGGCTGCGGGAGCTTACATAAGGCGCGCTCGCCGCGGGGCGGGGACTGCAGGCTGGTTGCGGTCGTTCCCTGACGCCGCGTCGCTCCGCTGGGGGCCACTACGTGGGCTAGACCCACCGGCTGCATCTCTCCTTCCTCATCCCCGCACCCTGCGAGATGAGAGGAGGGCGGTGATTTAGCCCGAGGCCCTGTCTGTCGTTACCCTTCTTAGTTGGGTAATCCCTCACGCTCTCCGGGGAACCCCCATGAAAAAGACGTGGAAGACTTGCCTTTGCAGCCCAACTGCTTGAGATTAAAAAAGGGCAACCCGGGTGGGGTTGAGAGAGTTACACACTTGGCATTTGGGATTGGGGTTAAAGTCATCATGCATTCCACAAACATCGTTTTTAGATCACTGTGAGGGATAGAAGTCGTTTTCCTCAACTAGCAAATTCAGTGGTGGCGGGTGGGGAGGAGACAGGAGCCAAATGTGACAGCCGGATGTGCACTGCAGAGAGAAAGCAAAGACCAAAAAAGACCCAAGGGCAGTTAGTACCAGAGTGTTCAGAAAGGGGCCGTTAATTTTAATTTAGTAGCCCCAATGTTTCAGACAAGCAACCAGAAAGGAGTCAAAATGGCACCTAAGTAAGAAAGGGCAGTGTAACTTCTTTAGAGCCTACACCTTCATGTTCCCCCTAAACCTGGTCGGCTCCCACTTTCCACCTGAGCCTAGAGGGCTGGAGCAGGTATCCTGAGGAAGGACAAAACGCCGCAGCATCCTTTTTTTAGATCTTACTTCTTGTTGGCAATATCACAATCCTTCTCACATTTTACATAGGAATAGTTCGTGTAACCAATATCGGTTGAACATTGTAGAAGGCAGACTCTGGGCTTGGACGAGAGAAGAGGAAAACTGAGATGCAACTCCCTTCCCTCAACGGGGTTTTGAGTCCTACAACACTTTTTTCCTGTTTTGAAAGTATGCTAACAAAGCCAAAGGCCTCATATTTGTATTTAAGCACCTGGTAATTGGAAAATACTGATTAAAATTTTGAGATTAATTATATCTAGGTAGATAGTTCATCACTTACCCCATCTGTTTTGTAATTTATCTGATGGCAGTTTTACGCTTAGCTTTCCTCCAGTAGAGTTCCACGTATTTCTCCCAAATCATAGTTGGCCCAAGAGTCAACTGTGTCTTAGGATAGAAAGTGACAGAAAATGAAAGAAGGATGTAATAGGTTCCTCTTCCTGAGGATGTGTATTAGCTTATTTAATATGACAAAGCATCATTTATAACTGACCTGAATATATCAATGACTGTTACTTCTTCTTGGTGAGGTATAAGGGAGCTCCATTTCTAGACTGCATGTCTATATAGCCAAAAAGGGTACACACATGCACTGATCTAGTAAACACTTTACCAATATTAACTCATTTGATTCCCACAATTGAATTGAATTGAATAGGTATAGGTTCAAAAAGAAATCTAAAAATAAAATTCCATAAAAAATTATCAGAAGCTATAGAACTATATAAAGTGTCTTTTTTCATGATTTTTGTTACCATATACTCATATTAGGTATAGCATTTATTAAATACCAAAAAAATTTTTATACAGTTCTAAGAAATGTATGAACTATTACAGATATCTTGCTCCTTTGAGAATTTAAAATGTATTTGTTATTCCAAAACTGTACTAACTTCCACTCAATCCTAAGCAGTGTTTTAAAAAATCATTCAGGCTTTCTACATATTTTTATTAATGTGGAGAGCATGTCACTACATACACTAAAAAAGTACATGTTAAGCTGAAACTGTGTAAAATATTTCAATACTGATTACAGAGTAAAAAGGAATAGTAAAAGCATGTTGCTTTTTGGAAGTTAACACCAAAGATAAAAATTCTTGTGTTCCTACTAATTAAACTTGAGACGATTAGTACCAGAGTGTTCAGAAAGGGGCCGTTAATTTTAATTTAGTAGCCCCAATGTTTCAGACAAGCAACCAGAAAGGAGTCAAAATGGCACCTAAGTAAGAAAGGGCAGTGTAACTTCTTTAGAGCCTACACCTTCATGTTCCCCCTAAACCTGGTCGGCTCCCACTTTCCACCTGAGCCTAGAGGGCTGGAGCAGGTATCCTGAGGAAGGACAAAACGCCGCAGCATCCTTTTTTTAGATCTTACTTCTTGTTGGCAATATCACAATCCTTCTCACATTTTACATAGGAATAGTTCGTGTAACCAATATCGGTTGAACATTGTAGAAGGCAGACTCTGGGCTTGGACGAGAGAAGAGGAAAACTGAGATGCAACTCCCTTCCCTCAACGGGGTTTTGAGTCCTACAACACTTTTTTCCTGTTTTGAAAGTATGCTAACAAAGCCAAAGGCCTCATATTTGTATTTAAGCACCTGGTAATTGGAAAATACTGATTAAAATTTTGAGATTAATTATATCTAGGTAGATAGTTCATCACTTACCCCATCTGTTTTGTAATTTATCTGATGGCAGTTTTACGCTTAGCTTTCCTCCAGTAGAGTTCCACGTATTTCTCCCAAATCATAGTTGGCCCAAGAGTCAACTGTGTCTTAGGATAGAAAGTGACAGAAAATGAAAGAAGGATGTAATAGGTTCCTCTTCCTGAGGATGTGTATTAGCTTATTTAATATGACAAAGCATCATTTATAACTGACCTGAATATATCAATGACTGTTACTTCTTCTTGGTGAGGTATAAGGGAGCTCCATTTCTAGACTGCATGTCTATATAGCCAAAAAGGGTACACACATGCACTGATCTAGTAAACACTTTACCAATATTAACTCATTTGATTCCCACAATTGAATTGAATTGAATAGGTATAGGTTCAAAAAGAAATCTAAAAATAAAATTCCATAAAAAATTATCAGAAGCTATAGAACTATATAAAGTGTCTTTTTTCATGATTTTTGTTACCATATACTCATATTAGGTATAGCATTTATTAAATACCAAAAAAATTTTTATACAGTTCTAAGAAATGTATGAACTATTACAGATATCTTGCTCCTTTGAGAATTTAAAATGTATTTGTTATTCCAAAACTGTACTAACTTCCACTCAATCCTAAGCAGTGTTTTAAAAAATCATTCAGGCTTTCTACATATTTTTATTAATGTGGAGAGCATGTCACTACATACACTAAAAAAGTACATGTTAAGCTGAAACTGTGTAAAATATTTCAATACTGATTACAGAGTAAAAAGGAATAGTAAAAGCATGTTGCTTTTTGGAAGTTAACACCAAAGATAAAAATTCTTGTGTTCCTACTAATTAAACTTGAGACGATCAGTGAGCTACTGCAATTAAAGTGATTGAAATATCAAGTATGAATATTATGTATGTGAAGTAAACTGTAACCATCCTTTTTTTTTTAATCAGTGGATTCTGAGTATGTGCTGAACTGAGATTTCTCCCCACATTCATGATATACCCAGTATGCATGGTTCTCAGACTGATTAAAGTTTATCATAGCACAGCAAAGGAAGGCTAAAGACTACCTAACATTACCAAATTTGATGTTGTAAATTGGTATATTTTTGTTTAAAAGCAAAGACATTTATTATTGAACTTCAGCATTTCAGTAATTATTCTTGTAGGCAAAGGTAATACAAATTAGTAATGAAAATAGTGACTGTATATGTTTGTGTGTATATATGTATGTGTGTGTTTGTTTACTCATATAGTTGCTTAGGTGAAATGTAGACAATGTTTTGGGAGGGGAGTTTTTAAAAATATAAAGGAGCACAAAAAAGGAAAATAGTATTAAAAACACCATATTAAATATCAAACCATATTAAACTCTTTATTTAAAATGTTGCATTCAAAAAAAGACATCATTTAAAAATGAAAAATAAGTGTTGCTTCCACAAATCTTAAATTCTTTGGCTAAGAATCTCTGAACTGATTAAATTGAACTATTGTACATGTATTTTTCCTATATAAATTTCTCATATTGGGCAAACAACAACTAGAAAACCAAAGAGTGACATAACAATAGATAAAGGTGATGTTTTTAAATTAGAAGAAAATCTTGTTTATAATATGGGGAAACTCCAAAAGAGATTAATGTTTACCAGAATATAAAAGATAAAAACCAACAAACTGTGGAAGAATTAAATCAATCAATAACAATTGAAATGGTTCCTAAAAAACAATTGCTTCTTGCATCTTACTACACTGATGGACAGTGACTGCAATGGGGAGTTGGTGGTGGGGGGACTTGATAATAAGGGTGAATGTAATAACCACATTGATTTTCTTGTGAAACCTTCGTAAGAGTGTATATCAATGATACCTTAATAAAAAAAATTGCCCCTTGATAGAAACAGATTTTTGGATGAAATCTGAAATGTTCCAGAGCATAGATAATTCTGGTGCATCAAGATTATAACAAGGACCATGATACAGACATAGCCTATTCCAGTTCACAGAAATGACAAATTACAGAATTTATTATGGGTTATTGTAATATCAAATAATTGTTTATAATAATGAAAAAAACATACCTAAGAATTGACGATGGATTTGAGAATCTTAGCAGATACACTCAACTATACAAAAGTGAATAGAAGACAGGTTGCTTAACCAGTCTGTGCGTCAGTTTCCTTATCTGTAATTTGGGGATTATATTAGTAACTACTCATAGGATTTTGTGGGAATTAAATGAGTTAATATTGGTAAAGTGTTTAGATCAGTGCATGTGTGCACCCTATTTGGCTATATAGGTATGCAGTCTAGAAATGGAGTTCCCTTATACCTCACCAAGAAGAAGTAACATTCATTGATATATCCAGGTCAGTTATAAATGGTGCCTTGTATTATACATGTTTCAAAATGAAGTAAAAGTACCAGTTGATATCTTTTCCTGACCCTTTGGGGTCACTAATTAGTCCAGGGATTATAGTGAAATGGTACACTCTTGAGAA